GTGTGTGTGTGTGTGTGTGTGTGTGTGTGTGTGTGTGTGTGTGTGTGCTGCTGCTCACCCTCACAGTGCTCCAGGAACTGGATACACTCCTGTACCACGGCGTCCCTCAGCATGACCATGTGTTTGGACATGTTCTCCAGCAGAGACAGGAAACAGCGCTTGGCGTAGAACCATGTGTCCGTCCCCAGCTACACACAGACACACACACACACACACACAGAGACACACACACACTGTCTTTAGTGTTCCCTGTCGTTATTTTGTGGCAGGTTTCTGAGAAATAAAAACTTGTATTTATGTGTTTTGTTTAACTTGAAGTCACGGACAGAAATATTTACAACTGTTTATGCTTTTATTTGTGCAATTTAGCGTGAATAAATGTTCCTTTAGCCTTTGTGTGTTTGTACATTGTTGCATTTAGTCTCTGTGACCTTTTCAAACACAAAAACCTGATCATCCTAAACACACTTTGATCTGCTTCCGTGCCACAGTTTGCCCCACAGCTGACTAGAGTAGATCCTGACATTCAATGTGACTCCGTGGTGGTGAGCACTGAGAGCATGAGACGGGGGGGAAACTCTCAGGACGTGACGGCTTTGTGTTCTCAGCTGGAGCCGAGTGGACTCAGCTGCAGGCCGAGTCGCTGGTGCGACTGGATGAGATCAAAAAGGTCCAGAAAGAGCAGCTCGGCCTCACAGAGGAGTCCTGGAGAGCTCAGAGGGTTATTTTTGGTTGAAGACTTGATACACGTGTTGTTATTCCTGTGTAGCGTAAATGTGCTGATAAATGATATCTGACGACAGCATCGACTCGTCTACACGCTGATGTCCAACATCCCAGAGAACAAGATGGCTGACCTTCTTGTTGTACGGCTCCAGGCTCTTGATGACTCGAGAGATGCCGAAGTCGTAGTTGCCTTTGGCGCAGTACAGCGTCCTGAACAAAGAAACACAGCCTCAGAGTGGACACTGATGCCCGTTGATGACGTCACTCGGTTCATAAGATAGGAAGCAAATCTGATCATTGAGTTTTAAAAGTCATATCAGGTCAATAACAAAGTCAGTCTGGTTCCACGCTAAAAATACAGCAAGACCTCGAGGATACATGTCTAAGCTGAACTCACCCGATCACCAGGTTGACGATGCAGAGGTGGAAGACCTTCTTGTCGGGGTCGTCGTAGGAGATCTGCTCCTCCTCTTTCTCGATCTTCCTCATCAGCTCTTCAGCCTGTTGGGTGACAGGAGGAGGAAACAGAGGAGACTCGTTCACAACGAGTGCTTCTGAAGAAAGTTACAATTAAACAACACGAGTCGGAAAAATAACTACACCTATGAAAGTACTTTGTGTAATATAAAGAGACAAAGAGACAATACTGACAGGCAAAACATGAAAACATTATTCGCTTAATATTTGCAGGATTTTCCTATTTTTTACCAAAACAACACAACATCCGACTCATTGTGTCTTTAAGTAAAGAACAAGTAAAGAAGTATTATCAGCTCAATGTACTTAAAGGATTAAGAGTAAATGTACATTATGCAGAATAGTAACATTGACTCATGTAAGGTAAACTGTAACAGTGGAACCAGGTCAATTACATTCAAATTAACTTTATTATTTAATATTCAGAACCCATCAGCTGTCAGACTGAGACAATACTTCTGCTCATTGTTTACAGAACGGAGAAAGTATAATTTTCCCGTTGAACTGTGTTTACGTAGTTTTAACCACCGAGTAAAACTACGTGAAGCAGAATGAAGCTCACTGTTAAATACAGCAGTGACATGATGTCATGACGACACATTAATGTCTTTGTACCTCCTCATTCTGGCTGGTCAGGATGTAGGACACACACAGGTTGGCCAGGACCACAGCGCTCACATTCAGGATCTACACACACACACACACACACACACTTTACAGAATATTTTTAAGCAGTACTCTGACCTTTAACATTTAAGACATCTTTTCTAGGGCGCGTGCAAGTTTCCTCAAACTGACTTTATGTTTGTTAATAAAAGCTTAACTTCAGACTTTAAAGGAATATTCTGTGATGTGAAGAAACTCTGTTAAACGACGCTGCTCCCTCAGCAGAGTTTATCGGGACTTAAGTGTCTGAAATTGTCTAAATTTCAGGTGCCAGAAAACGACACGAGCAACACTGCAAACAAGGAAACAAACAAAGTAAACAGCCCACAGAGGAGAAGATCGCTGAGACAGATATCATGCACAGATGTGAAGACACTACAGAGGAATCAACACAGAGCTGCTGGCTCTCTAGTGTTACCGAGGGTTTGCACTTGCAGGGACAATCCTGAATGTTACACTGCTCCACCTGGACAAGAAGGGAAACGGTCAACGTCTAGTCCGGACCTCAGACTGCTGCAGCGGACTGACAGCATCATGTCTGAGCGTTAACGTAGCGACTAAACGCTCTGAAACACTCACGTTTTCGTAGTGCTTCTTGACGATGGGCTCGTAGAAGCCGATGGCCTCCTTGTATTTGTTCTGCATGAAGAGCACGTGGGCCACGTTCAGCTTCCAGGTGTCGTCCTCGTTGCAGACCTCCACCGACTTGCGGAAAATCTTCTCCACCATCTGGAAGTTCTCCCGGTTCCAGTAGATCTTGGACTGGGCCATCAGGACCACGATGTACCTGGACAGCAGCGGGACGATTACACGGTGAAGAGGTTCCAACAAGATCGTTTTAGATTTGATTTAACTGGAGTTCATTTGTCAAACGTTTCTTCTTGTTACTATTAGTTCTTACAGGGAATGAACAACGCAACATGTAACAGTGATTCAAGACCCAAAGGTTGTATTAGTCACTGGTGGTTAGAAATCTATAGAACTATATGATGAGAAGTATTAAAAGTGTTCAAATATTGGTGCAAAATATCAACGAGCCATCTGTTTACTTCTCTCACTTTACCACTGTAGGTGTGTGTGTGTGTGTAAGTGTGAGTGTGTGTGTGTGTAGGTGTGTGTGTGTGTCTGTATATATGTGTGTGTATGTGTGTCCCCACTTCTCCTGCATCAGGTCGTTTTCCTGCAGAGATTTCTTCTGAGCTTCATCGTCTCGAGCCAGTCGGGCCTCCTGCACCTTAGAGAAGACGGACGAAAACAACGTTCAGATATTATTTATATATATTGAGAATAAAAAGCAACTTATGTAGCACATTGAAACAGATCAGCATATGTGAGGAAGTTGATATAACTGATTGATAAAGATTATTTTTGTTGATTGAATGCAGTTATTGAGAGTCACTTCTGATAAAAGCTTCAGCTAAATAAATGTAAAGTAAATGAGAAACATTCCTTAAAAGATCCACTTTGAAGTGTAAAATCTGCTTCAGCTCCTGAAACTCTGGTTCTAAATGTAAGGATGCAGGTCAGTGTTCCATGGATCAACTGACAGATTAAGACAATAACAAGTTGACATTTTTATGAAATAATTGATCTCCAAATGAAATATAGAAAAATCAAACATTGCGTACATCATCAACAGGAAAGAAACATTCAGAGTAAACAACCTGCTTGGCCAGCTTCCTCAACTGCTCCGTCAGTTTTCCGTTCATATCATCAAACTTCCTAAAAGCCTGTGAAAAAACCCGACAGTATGAACATGATATTATATTTATGGAAGAATAAAACATGAGCCTTAAACTTAAAGGAGACATAAGCTCATTTTGAAGGTTCATACTTGTATTTTGGGTTTCTACTAGAACCTGTTTTCATTAAAAACACAGTGTTGGTGATCATTCTGTGGGTTCGTATCTACTACTGCTATACTTTAATTAAAGATGTTTTTCAGTACCTCCTCTGGTGCCGTCTGGCAGGTCAACAAGGCATCAAGGAACTCGTACATGTACTGGAAAAGACAGAAAGTCACCTTTAATATGGATCCTGCAACAGGAAACCTGTCATGATTATTGAGACTTTTGAGCTGTGAAGTGAAAACATTTGAATCGGTCCAGAAGCTCACCGGCGAGAGGAACTTGTAGGTGAGATGTGTGTTCTCTGCCAGGACGTCAGCCGCCAGGTCGAAGTACTGAGAGAGAGACGAGTCCAGCAGAGACATGAATACCACTTTAATGAGAGACCCACACCTCTCTGTTCCAGCCAACACTCACACCACACAGAACACTCCCTGTGTGGACCGGGGGGGGTGGGGGGGCAGCTCAACAGGATGGAACTGTTCGATCAGGATGAACAAGGTTATCAGAAGGAGTTGTTACGTTATGTGGCTGCTGAGAATAATTAAAAAGGGAAACTTAAATGACTGTTGGTGTGAATGATTCATTCTCTTGAAACAGAGGTTTGTTTTGCTGTAGTGCTAATAGTCCGTAAACGGGATTCTTTGAAGTGAGGTTCTTCTCCATTGTCAGTGTTTCATTACAGTAGATGAAGTTCAGAGAATCAATATCAGGTTAAGTGAACGCTATATTTAGAATGTTTTCACCTCTTTACTTTGCTGTCTTTTAGGAGTCTAAAATACATCCACAGCAGAGCTGCTTCTGTTTCTATAAACTCCATTCGACTACACTAACAAGGACGTGAGCAGCTTGTTGGACGCCAGTTGTTTATCAGAGTAAAGCAGTCGTCTTGTGTTCAGTGAGCTGCATAGAAGCCTCGATGTGGGTCAAACCTGGTGTTGGTAGAATTACACAAAGCTTTCAAACCGTAAAAAACAAAGTCAGGAGGACGAGGGGAGCCTGAACTGAATTTCCAGATCCTCAAAGACTGCTCTGTTAATCACGAGTTAAAGACGAAGCTGACAGCTGATTCATGTGTTACACTCCTCTGGAGTCAAACTAAGAACATCAGCTTAAAGCAGCAGATAAAGAACTGTAATGTAAGTGAGAAACATTCAGATACAATTTTAAGTGTAAAACATGACGGTGAAAGCGTGTCCTGGTCAGTAATCGCTGCTTTGACATCTGTGGGAATAAAAACATTCTTTTGTCAAACTGCCACAGGCTGGACGTGAAAGCACATTCGGATTCCTTTCTCAAGCGTACTTAAAGCCACAGTGGATCCGGTCTGGGACCCTCCCGGTACAGGACCGTACTCTGCGGGTTCGGGGGTTGCCGTGTACCTCGTGTTTGCAGTAGAGCAGCAGCAGATTTCCGAAGGTGACGGGGGGGAAGGAGGGCTGCTGCAGCAGGAAGGCCAGCTTCTCAAAACCCTCCGACGGCTTCGTGTCCATGTTCACCAGAGCCTGGTTGTGGAGAGTCACCGGGTCCAGCTCCTGCACACACACACACACACACATCATAGTGTAGGTACACTGGGTCATGACTCTGCAAAGCACTGTATTAAGACAGGTCATTATTCAGTCGTTTGTTTAGATGGTATTACATTCCACTAGGGGGCACTAGAGGTACACTTCTCTCTCTTCTGCCAGCTGAAGAAGACTGAGTGGCAGTTACAAACTTGTCCAAGGACAGTTCCCCGTCTGAGCATTAATATTAATGAAGCAGCTTCCAGACGATAAAACTATCGTCGGTACCTCCGTGTAAGCCTTCACACCGATGTGTCTGTTCTCTGTTATCTCCAGGCTGTCACAGGTCCAGACAGCCCTGATTCAGATTACAGCAGAATAATCACACCGAGCCAGAGGCGCACACACGCACACACACACACACACCCACACACACACACACACACACACACACACACAGTGAATGGGTGGTGATAGTTACCTCCTCTGATCGGGGGGGGCATGTCGGTCAGAGCCTCCTGAGCTCCTTTCACTGCAGGAAAAGAGAAAAGAAAGCAGTTTTAGTCTGAATCATAGTTTCTTTCGTAGCATGAACAAATATAAATAAACTCAAGAAATCAACACTTAAAGTGCCCCGTTTTCTCCACCATAACACACTGTGTGTATACTTGAGCCCTGACAAACATGGTGGAAGCATTTCCTCCCTAATGAAGCTGACTTCGTGTGCATTGTTTACATCCATGTTCCTCTTCCTTACCTTGTAAAGACTCCACAGGGAACCTGCAATTGTGTCTTTTTTGTCGCAAGAGGTCTTTCAATCAAAACAATAACAAAAGATTTTGATGACATGGTGAAGTAGCGTGGGATCATGAGAGTTGTTGTCTTCATTGTTAAAAACCACCAAATGTACAGTATCTGACACAACTCATGTTCACGGATGAGTTGATGTATTAAGGTTCATGTTATGTTTATTCACGTTATGTCATTTCATTCAAATGAAACAGCCGCAAGTTAACGTTAGCTAACGTAGCGTTAACCTGCTAACTTCCCAATAGATGAGTCGACAACACAAACAGCTGCTGTCCTGTTTCTGGTCAAAACAATCACACTAAAATTAAACTTTAAGAGCACATTGAACGTTGGTGTAACGTTATAATGTTATCGTACACATTAGATCGGTGGCTGGCATGAAGTACTTGTCATAGAACACATCGTAGTAAGCTGGATCTGAAACATCATATCAATCAATGAGGTCTCTACTGGACGTTTGTTTGTGCTTCACAGGCAATAAATAATCGCGCTCCGTCATGAATCAGCAGTAAAAAACAAAAGTAAACAATAGAGTGGCTCGCTGACTTCCTTCCTCTTGTATCAGCTGGTGTTTCCTGCGTTTCCCCCGAGGTTAGAGCAACTAGAGGGGTAACGCGGACATGTTGCCATCGACAAGCAACCATCTAGCTTTTTAAGACTGAAGCGATAATCTAAGTACATAACTCAACAAAATATGTAACATACTGTAGGTCTTCTCGTTTTTAGACATTTTAATGCAGAAATGCTCCATATTAATCCTTTAAGTATAATAAATAATATAATAAATTAAGTCACAAAGCAATTAGAAAGTAGCTCCGGACCTTTGAATCCACACACTCCACTGAGTTTGAGTCAACTGGAAACAGAGAGTAACAAGTTGTTGAGTCTCTGTGGCGTCGTATTAGTTATGGAGACTAGTTAAAGAAGTATTCCTATGAGAACGCCACAAGTTAACCGGGTTATTTAGTGAGTATGACGTGTGTCTGTGTGTCACACTGGGGGAGGTCTCACCGTTCTTCAGCTGGTATTCGATGGCAGCTTTGAGGTTGAAGGCTTCGATCAGGGCCGTCTGATGCAGCACCAGCGTGTTGCCCACGCTGTGGACGTCGATGCCCTCCGTCGTCAAACCGACGCTCAGCTCTGGGACACAGAAAACACAACGTTCGATCATCAACCAATGTCACTTACTTAACCTTTAAATGTCACCGTGGCTGCTGTAAGGAGAGAGTCTGTGAGGAGGTTTTACCTGGATGCTCCCTGATGCCTTGCTCGATGATCTCTCCGATGTACTTGACGGCCTGAGGGTAGTTCTTCAGGCTGTAGTAACACAGGGCGATGTTGTAGGACAGCGCTGAGAGAGACGAGCGACACAAAGACAGAGATGACATGATGGACTTTAAATAGTGCACGTAGAGGATTTTGAACACATTCTTGATCTGATAACCTGCCAAAGTTCTCCTTAAGCTTGTGAGAAAATAACAATTTAAAATCATTAGCCTTCACTTTTCCCAGCTTATAAAACCTTTAAAATGTTTCCTTTACTTGAGAACAAAACCCTGCTGCACTTTCTACTCTACTTGTTAAGAAGCCCTGTTGAAATACTGTAGGAAAGAGACATTTTCATTCAGTGTGTTCTTGTGTGCAGGTCGTTCTGGGCCATGGACTGTCGATGACACGTAGGACCTACAGTTAGCACCTCAACGACACACTCAGACATCCATCTTGCCTTCTTTCTTCACCAAAGAACCAAAAACTAATCTCAACCCCTCAGAAACACTCAGAGGTGGCACACGTTACAGATGAGGACTGATTGCTGATTGAAGAGTTGTATGAAGGAGTTTCACTAATTAGAAAAACACATCAGAGATTCATAATAATGCAAGTAATTACCAACAGCTTTGAAAAGAAGTTTTTCTCTTTTGTTTAACACAGAGTTTAAAACAGAGTTCTGGGTCTTTCTATCAGATCTGTGTTAAGCGTTTCTAAAAGAGTGTGAAACCATGAAAAGGTGTTCAGAAGAGAAGATTCTGCTGCGATCAAGTGGATCCCAGTTTCATTAAGAACAGGGTTCCCTCTCTTCTCTACAGATCAGATTTTGTGGACATTTTAGCAAAGCTACTGCTACAAAAGAACAATGCAGCATTGTGTTTGTAGAGACAATGCTAGCACAGTAAAAAAGTAGTGAGCCAGTATTTAGTCATTGTTCTTCTTCATTATCAACCAACTCTCTCATCACCGCCAAACACACATGTGAAACCATCGCTCCTCACCACAGTTCAATCACAAACCAGCAAAACCAGCTAGCAAGCAACTGAACCACACATGCTAACACAACTCAGCATTACTCGACTGTTTGAAACAAGTTGCAAAGAAAGCAAAGTTATGTAAAGTCATGCAACCGGCATGTGACGTGATTCGTGTGTTTACAGTTTCCACAACATGAACGAAATACTCTGGTCCATAAACTACCATTTAAACGTTATTATGATCAGTAGGCAATGTGACCCGAGTTACATAGACTGCTAGTTCATTCTCAAAAGGAATGACTGGAATATACAGTATGTCAACTGATTTCCAGGTTTTCCAGGACGCGTGGGAACCCTGGAGAAAAACATTAACCATGAACATGTGATGCAAAGATCGCTCCATCGCTGTCACTTCAGCTGAATCCGATCCTCAAGCTTTTCATCTTGAGATCAGTTTGTTTATTCGATGTTGACGTTTGATGTGGATTAACTCCCTAAAAGTTAGTGTTATGAAATCACGTCCACACTACTGGAGTCATTCTTGGAGGGATCATAACTTTTCCACAGCCAAGACGCTGCTGCAGATGATGACGTAATGCGGTGCAGTACTGTGTTATTGTACTGTGTACTGCGGGTGTATTCCTGCGCGTGCCTTTCATAGCTACCTGGCAGGTATCCCAGCACTTGCATGGCAGACGAGAACTTCTTGCAGGCCTCCTCGTACTTGCCGTCTTGGAAAAGCAAACAGCCCGTGTTGTAGAAGTAGTCGGGGTCTTCCTGGGGCAGCTGCTCCAGCAGTGACTGTGCAGTTTGTGGGAAGATGAACGAATGTGTGTGAGTTGTGCTGCAGATAGTAATGATTCAAACTGAAACGCCATCATTTGTATTATTGCATTAACAGATAATACGAGAGAGCTCGTCACCTTGGCAGCCGAGTAACCTTCCTCACAGTATTTGATACAGGCTTGAAGCTTCACCATCTGTAACAGAGAGAGAGAGATAGAGAGAGAAACAGACAGAGAGAGAGAGAGAGAGAGAGAGAGAGAGAGGAGACAGAGAGAGAGAGAGACAGAGAGAGAGAGACAGAGAGAGAAAGACAGACAGACAGAGAGAGAGAGAGAGAGAGAGGAGACAGAGA